TTGTAAATAAATAAAAAAAATTCGGGCTTCGTAGAATACTTCACTAACTTCGTTAACAAGATAAAAACCCAAGTTGTATAAACGGAGCGGGTGGCCCAAACACGAAATTATTTGCCAATATGTTCTTTTAAGAGGGCGATATCATTAGTAATCAACCTCCGAAGCTGTTGAGAAGAGTATTCGAGTAGAATCTTGTCAGGGACTATATATCAATATAGTACGGAGCATTGATCCTCTCGATTCAGGGATGAAAATGAACGGGGAATTTCATCGAATTAAATCGACCATCTTGCGTAAAATTCTAAGATCTAGAGACCATTGTATATAATTTGTGAAAGTCATTAAGATTTACCGTGTAATTTACGGGACGAAACTGCATATGGGAACAAAATGCCGAATGAGATATTGGATTTCAACTAGAAGGACAACCATGTGAAATTGCACTCGGCCAACAGGCATGTGGCCGCTGGCTGAGTAAAGGGATTTGGGGAGCGGGGGGGGGGATGAGCGGAGAGTATCAGGTTCGAGGGTCGATCCCCGTATATACCGATCATATGTATATAGAAGAGAGGAGTCAGGAAAAAAATTGCAGGTGATTTGAATTCTGACATGGATCTAAAGAACTAATATGGCTGCGCATAGCAACCATTTTGTGCCCGGGAACAGATTTTGCTAAGAAATGATTCTTTTTTATTCTGTGTCGAGGAACAATTTCTAAGTATTTGAAGGCATTTGATAACTATCCAAAATTTCTATTCTTAAAATAGAAAAAGAACATAAATGCGTTTGGTAACTATACAAAATTTCTTTTTATTAATAATATTTTTAAATTTTTAAATATTTCTTTCTTTTTTTTTCCTTTTTTTTCTTTTTTTTCCTTGGCTATGGCTGGTCGTCGGCGCCAGCGACCGGCCACAGGCCAAGGCCGGCGAGGGCATCGTGGCCATTGTCGGTCGCTACTGGCGAGGTTGAGCCTCGCCGGCCAAGCGAGGCTCGACCTCGCCGTCGCCATGCCTGGGCGACGGTGAGGTCGGCCTCGCCATGGTCGGCGAGGTCGCTCGGCGACTCCGGCGAGGTAGGCCTCGCCTTGGCGGCGAGGCTTGACCTCGCCGTCGCCGGGGCGGCGAGGGCCGCCTCGCCCTTGCCGGCCTTGGCCGGTCGTTGGCGGCGGGCCGGCGACTGGCAGGAGGCAGACCGAGAAGAAGATGAAGAACAAATAAAAAAGAAAGAAGAAAACTAAGAAGAATCAGAAATGAAAAAATTGTTCTAGAATCAAGAAGCTACTTTTTTTTGCTTCTTGATTCTGTTCCAAAACTGATTCTGGGAACAATTTTTTGTAAATTTGTGCTCGGGCACAAAAATTTTAACAAACGGATTTCTATTCCCAAACTGATTCTGGAAACAAAAAAATAGAAATTTTCACTATTTGGCAAGTTGCCAAACAGGCCCTAAGTGACCGAATAGGTTCATCAATTGCTTATGCAGACCTATGACATTTGTCGAGCTTATCTAGTGGGCCGAAATAGGATCACCTATGAACTTTATATTTGGGCCAACAAGACCCAAAATTCAATTTTCAACACACGTTTGACCAAAAAATAAATAAATCTAATCTAATCCAAAGCCGATCCATACTATGGATTACCTTCCTCACACAAATCTACAGACTATAGCACGATGTGATCCTTGACTTTTCCACTATTAAGATAAGGTGATGATTTCTTCTTTGGACGGATGTATAGACTATATAGCCAACTCGTTCTAATCAATGGCATCGACATTAGGTAGTAGCTAGCTCTGATATAAGATATCTTTGAATCGTCGACTAAGTCCAGGCATGAAAACACGAGACAACACAGATGAGATCTAAGTGTTGAAAAACGGAATAAATAAGTTCGGTAGGAGCTTCGACGGCCTTCATGAATTCGTTCGGCAGAAAGTTTAACAGCTGTTCACAGGATGGTACTCGAGAGACTCGACCGTAATTTAAGTAAACTAAGCCATTCGGGTCAAAAGAATTACACTAAGGGCGCGTTTGATAACGTTTCTACTTCTCTATTTTTCTGTTCTTCCGTTCCCTGGAACAAAAAAAGAACAAAAATCTGTTTGGTAACGCATTTTATTTTTCTATTTCTTAGAATAGAAAAATGGCTAAGAAATAGATTTAGAACAGAAATAAGAAGTAGATTTTTTCTACTTCTTTGTTCCTAGAAACAAAAAAAGAAATAGAAAGGTCCTGTCCTCAAGCCGTGGCCTCAGCTCCTCCTCCATCCTCCGTCGTCTGTAGACCATCTCAAAGCACCGGTTCGGTCCATTCCCAGCGGGAATAATAAAAAAAAATTCATAAAAAAATAAAAAAATTCCAAAAAATTCATAAAAATCAGAAAAATTCTCAGAAAATCCATAAAAATCAGGAAAACTCAGAAAACCCATAAAAATTTACAAAATTTTGAAATTGAAAAAATTAAAAAAAAATTCATAAAAATTTTCTAGAAAATAAAAAGAGACAGACTTTGGGAAAGTAAAAAATTTTAATAAACTTTTCCCCAAAAAAATCAAAAATAAAAAATTCACAAAATGGCTTAGAATAAATTAAAAAATTCCGAAAATTCATTAAAATTAGAAAAATTTCAGAAAAATTTCTAAAAAAATTAGAAAATTAAAAAATTCCAAAAATTCATAAAAATCAGAAAAATTCTCAAAAAATCCATAAAAATCAGAAAAACTCAGAAAACCCATAAAAATTTGCAAAATTCCGAAATTGAAAAAAATTAAAAAAATTTCATAAAAAATTTTCTGGAAAATAAAAAGAAACAGATTTAGGGAAAGTAAAAAATTTTAATAAATTTTACCCCAAATTTTTTTTTGTAAAAATTCACAAAATGGCTTAGAATACATGTGGCCACCCACTTTGAGTGAAATTTAAATTTTTTGAGGTGCCCAAGTGGTATTTTTGAAGATTCCTTAGTTTAGGGATTAAAAGAGGTTTTAAACCTCTAAAAAGGATTAGACAAATCAATAAACCATGCTTATTGATTTTTTTTTACTTATAACTTGTACTTATGGTTAAATAAAAGATATAGATTTGAATGCAAAAAATTGGGAATAGAAATTTTTTTGGTTGTACCAAACGCATTTTTGTTTTTTTTTCTATTCCAGGAATAGAAATTTTGTGCAGTTACCAAATGCATTCTTTTGCTCAAAAACTCATCCGGAAAATAGAAATAAAAAAAACTATTTCTAAAAAGAAATTATTCCCAGAAACAAAAACGTTACCAAATGTGCCCTAATAAGGCCGTCGGTCCGTAGCGTCTCTTCTAAGAAATTAAAGCATCGTGTTAAATCAGTAGTACTCATTACTCGATTGACAATTTCCTCCTCCAATTAAGGCGATAAAAAACCGAGAAAGAGTCCCGCACGATCCGTACTTCCTCGTGGTCTTGAATTGAATTGAATTGAATGGGGGGTTTTTCTTTGACTGAAGGAATTCATGGAATCAAGTCATGGGGTTAAACTCCGTGAGACATACGGCTCGATCTTTATCATCTGCGAACGCTTTCGTCGTGTGAGTTCGATCTTGTTTTCTCGGGAAATAATTTTGGAACCGTAAATGGATTCGTTCGCGTCGAATGTTTACAATTGATGTCCGATCCACATTAAGTTATCGTTGTCTCAAGCGCTCTAGTATGCTCCACTTGTTCACTCGTGTCGGTTTGGGGTGTAGTCAGTTCATCGGGAGGATCGCCCTCCCGACTCGAACCTTATCAAAAGAAACAGGGGTTCCGTTAAAATTATGTCTCGAGTTTGAGCCGTTACGAAATCCGACTAGATCCAAGTTTGATAGCATAAACAGATGCGGCCTTCTTCTCTGTCAAGAAATAAGAAGCAGACGTGCATTCCTTCGACAAAGGGAAGAGCGGCTCGAAGAGGAGACCAAAATGCATGACATTCTTGGCACAGTGATTTTGTGCTGTGAGTTTTACGTTCAATGAATTGTTTATTTATAAACACTTGGGGTTTGCATTTAATGTAGATGTGAGAAACACTAGAGCGTGTTGGCATTCGCAAACTCCGATTCTCCGACTATTAGTGATTATTTACTGTCGGCTCTCTCCGTAAATGTAAGTACCGATACTTGGATCGAACCACGTAAATATTTGGCGTCCCTTATCGTTTCTCGTTTTATTTTTTCAGTGATTTTGCATTCATTAATATTACAACAAGCTCACCAAAGCCAAAGAAATGAAATGACTCAACCACGACTAAAAGGTTTTGCCTCAACTTTTTCTGTGGACGTAAAATCACATAAATTGAACTACATAAATCTGGATTTTCCTATTCGTTTCCACCAATATTTCGCAAATGGAAAGGACCGATGGAGTATACGCCAAAGTTACATCAGAAATATAGATTCTTCACAGATAAATCTATCTAAAACCCTTCGAATTCGAATTGGCTCTAGCATTGTTACTTTGTTCCGGCGAGCTATTTGGAAATTGTAAGTAAGCCATTCGATTGTCCTGAAGTATCACATCACATATATACATTGACAAGAAGTGTCGTACGTGATCCTCCCAAGAAGATTGAACCAGTATTCGCCACCGGCGCGACGAGCGGTGCAGAATGAAAGTTAAATGGTGCACAGCATGGTCAAGCCTCCGCGTATGCACACAAAATGTCAACATTGGATGATTCGAGGAAGACCGTCACTTGCTACTCCTATCGGTCGAGTCTGTTGAAATAGTCCTTCTCTCTTTGTAATATATGGGTTTTTGACCCAGTCAAAAAAAAAAAAGGAAAAAGAAAGTGTTGACTCAGTCAACAAAGGGAGACCGAGAGCTCCCTCGGTAAGAAACAGAGGAAGAAAGAGAAAAAAGGGGAAAGAAGAAGAAGAAGAAAGAAGAGAGAGAGGGTTTGGTGCCAAAAAAAAGGGGAAAGAAGAAGAAGAAGAAAGAAGAGAGAGAGGGTTTGGTGCCAAAGGGGTCTCGCCAAGCCGATTCGACTTCGTAATATAATGCCCAGTAAGTGCTCGCGTCTCTCGTTCGTTCAATCGGAGTATTTTCCGGGTTAGGGCTCATATTTCAGAGTTTTGTGATATTTGCGCTGCGAAGTTCGATTTTTGAGTCGTTGAGCTATGAATATATATAGAATTGATAGTTTAGGGTGTTGCGGGGCCGTGGGATTTTACGGATCTTGATTTGGACTTACGGTTTGCCCAATATGAATTTTTGAAGTTGGCTGCGCAAGGTGAACAGTGCGAGACCAGCGGCTTTTAGGCCGATTTTCGTCGGTTTTCGGCTTGATTTTGGGACGGCCAAGTTGGGGTTCTTATAGTGCTCTGAATGTGCTTTCTACTGACTATAAGCTCACTTGAAATGGGGTTCGGTGGAGGAATTTATGGTGCGATCAAGTTTCGCGTTTAAGCTCCGCGTTGCGGAGGTTTGGATAATCGCTTTGGAGAAGCGATTTGTGGGCGCCTTTGAGTTGTCTTGTTAGCGTTTAAGTGTTGTTTAGCCGTTTCGTAGTTATCGTAGTATTTTACTTAGTTTTGACGTCGATTTTCGTTTAATTGATAGGATTATGAGATCGTCGGTCCGAGTGAGCATCGGTATTTGATTTTTGGGGATTCCAGGTGAGTGGTGCTATCTCTTCTATGAATTGCTAAACTCATGTCTTGAAAGTGGAAGAGACTCGATATATAATGAACTGTGAAAGAACATATTTGTTACATAAAAATATGGATCGAGCATTTACTACTTTTTAGTATTTGAGAATGATTTGAGAATCGTTTTGGAAATGATACATATGTGTATCGCATTCCGAACTAGTTTATGAAATGAGTTCGGAAATGATTCAAGAAATGCTCTACGAAATGTATTTCTGGCAGATGAGCCGTGTTGCGAGAAAGTTAATTGTTTGGTTTATGCGATTGATTTTTTGGATTGGATTTCTGGTATTGGAGGACGTGAGTTTTGTACTCAATATCGCTGTGAACCCATTGAGGGGTTTGGGGGTATGCATACCGAGTCAGGATATCCTTCTGGGCCGAGCCACCGGCTTTGTAGGTGGAGACCCTGCCAAGGGGGGAATCTTGGTAGCCTTGTCACAAGGCTTTGTGTCATGACCATGGTTAGATATTGAGCAATAGATTGGTCGATGGAATGGACCATCGACATGTGATGTTATATAAGATTTATCAATGGAATAGACCATTGATGTGTGATTTGAGATTGGTCAATAGAATGGACCATTGACGTGGTTTTTAATAGAGATTGATCAATGGACTTGACCATTGATGGTTGATTTGATATGGTGGTTTAAACGAGTATTTCTTAATTATATAAAGTCTTGTTGAAATGAAATAACTTTTATATGATTTTATATGTATTTGATATCTTGAGTTTGGCTCCTGAAATTTTGGCATGGCTTTATGTATTCATGCATAGTGGTTGCTCGATCTGCTTAGAAGAGATACGTACTGCTTACTGAGCTGTGGTTGCTCACCCCTCTCTTTCCCCAATCTTTTCAGGTTCTTTTTTTGGTAGCCGATAGAGCGAGAGTGTTGTCGTGGGGATTTTTGGGTGGTTTGAGGCTGTGTCCTTCGGGTGGAAGGACGGCCGTGTCATCCCCCATCCTGGTAGGTTTCAGGGTGTGACACTCTTCCTATAAATACCCACCAACACAAACCTCCGACTCCATCCACAAACACAAACTACCTTAAACACAACACATGATTTCGCAGAAAATGAGGTTAGGGTCATTTATACCGTTGCTCCTCCTGGCCTCGGTGCTCGGAGCCACCACCCAGCAGTGCGGGAGCCAAGCCGGCGAGGCCAAGTGTGTCGGGGGGCTGTGCTGTAGCAAGTTCGGCTACTGCGGAAGCGGTCCTGCCTACTGCGGTGACGGCTTCCAGATCCAATGTACTCCTAGTGGCTTGCCGACTCCCTCTGGCGGCGGCGGGGACATCGGCGGCTTGATCAGTCAGGACCTGTTCAACAAGCTGCTAAAGCATCGGAACGACGGGAATTGCCCCGGCAAAGGGTTCTACACCTACGACGCATTTATCACGGCCGCGAAGTCGTTCGGCGGGTTCGGGACGACGGGCGGCACGGGCACGAGGAAGCGAGAGATTGCAGCATTTTTGGCTCAGACATCGCACGAAACCACAGGTTTGATGACTTTAGTTTCGAGTCATTACTTGGTAGTTGCCTTGCGTTATTGAAGACTATTTCGTTGGCAAAAACAGATAGGGTTCTCCATTGTATAATGCATGGTTCCAACATATTTTTTACCAAGTATTTTATAGGTGGATGGGCAAGTGCACCGGACGGTCCATATGCATGGGGATATTGCTTCTTGCAAGAGCAAGGCAATCCTGGAGACTATTGCGTTGCCAACCAACAATGGCCTTGTGCTCCTGGCAAGAAATACTATGGACGTGGTCCTATCCAAATATCTTAGTAAGTTAAATAAAATCAACCTTTGATTTCAATATGTATAGCAGTCTCTAAATTCATCGTCACAGTACCTACCTAGACCGAGTCTGCTTATGATTTTCGCTCGTTATATATTATTGTATGGGCGCGAATCTGGTCAGTATAGGTTCGGATTTAAGAAAGATTGGTTTTCTTGGATTTTGATATATTTGGTTGATCAAGATTTTCCCCAGCAACTACAACTATGGCCTGGCGGGGAAAGCCATCAACTACGACCTCCTGAGCAACCCGGACGCGGTCGCGACCGACCCGGTCATCTCGTTCAAGACGGCCCTCTGGTTCTGGATGACGCCGCAGTCGCCGAAGCCCTCGTGCCACGCCGTGGTCACCGGCCAATGGCAGCCGTCCGCCGCGGACAGCGTGGCAGGACGGGTCCCGGGCTACGGGGTCATCACCAACATCATCAACGGCGGGATCGAGTGCGGGAAGGGCTCGAACCCGCAGGTGGAGGACCGGATCGGGTTCTACAAGAGATATTGCGACTTGCTAAAGGTGGGATACGGCAACAATCTCGACTGCTACAACCAAAGGCCATTTGCCTAGTTCTATTACTATATCGAGTCATTGCTCACGTAGTGGTGATCAATAAGCTGAGATGTACTCGTCCTGCGTATTAAGCTGCGACTGCTAGGTGTTTGTCCACACATGAAGGACTAAATAGAGGATATTGACCTTTCTATTATCTCAATGAAACTTGCCGAAGTTGTGCAGCATGGGCAACTAGAATCACAGTCTCTGTACGTAATGCGAACTTACCAGGAAACTAGAGACCTATGAGGCTTTAAAGTCAAATTTCACCTAGTGAGGACAGGAATCGAAAATGTGATGTTGGCCAATTATTTGAGCCGGGACCATCTAATAAACAGCGAACGCTATTGCGTCGGCAAGCATGCTTGCCGGCTAATGAATGCAGCTCTCGCGCAGGCGCTTTAGCAGACCGACAAGCCACCTCTGCGATAATTCACAGACATCACATGAAATCCTAGGGATACAAACTTTAGATCACGTAGGAGGGGGGTGTCACGCAAAGGCTACTTCTATCACGAGGATTCTCCTTCTCGTTTTTCTTGTTGAAAACCAGATTAAATTGAAGCCAATGAATTGATAATGATCTACAAAACGACTTCTTGGTCAACACTGAGGGAAGTCCATGCGAAGCAAGTTGCGAGTTAAACGGGTCCGTCCATAACGATGTAGGCGACTAGGCGGACCCTGAAGCCAACCCTGCGGCGGACCAAAAGTTGAGTGCAGAGTAGAAACGCTTTGGAGGACTTCAAGTGCAGCGCAAATGGCAATTAGCAGCTACACAGAATCTCCACCTGAACCAGTCAATAGCGATTCCATGGCGATGGCATTCTTGAGAAGCTCAACAAATTGATTGTGAAAAGTTGTTTTACCCATTCTTCGAGAAACAACAAACTGATATCCCTCCCGCCTTCTCAACAATGACAGTAAGAGAAGAGAGAAAGATCTGCCTTGCATGCTCCATTTATCTGACAGTTGCTACAAAGTTCAGTCTTCTTCAGCTCATATATTGGTACAAGAAACTCCTACTGCATAAATTTCACCAATTGAAATAAGGTGATCACATACATGGTACATAAAGCGATCGCATACATGGTAAAGGATTCTGGTTTCAACATTGGTCCAAGCAGTATACCATGGGAAATGAGGCACTACATGGCATAAAGTTTGGATGTAAGCTTTAAAATCTGGGTAAGATTGATAAATAATTCTTGAGACTTCCACCAGAATAACAAAGCATAAAATCTGATAGAGTTTGATCTTGACAAGCAAAACTTGAGAAACAAATGGAACTGCCATTTCTATGCCATTGCATCTCATGATAAATAAAATTAATGCCAATATACCTCCAAGAAAAACTCATTATATATGGCAAAAAAATTGAGAAAACAGTGATAAGATCTCTAAACAAGTAAATGGTTTTGACTTCTCTTCCAGTTCCTGTGCAGTGGGCAGCTGTTCTAGATCATATATACTGCTTCCGGCCCAACAAAAGTGGCATAAATTTCGGCAAGCACCTTTGCTGAAAGGATAAACTCTTTCGGGAATACCCCTGCAGATTGCATGAGAATTGCATGAAGAAGCTGGTATATTGATGGCCAAAGAAGAAATGGGTAGAACAATGACATGAAGAAACTCTCCTCTACCTATATAGCTAAGCTCGGGTCAAATGTAGCATTTCAGTAATATTGGTCTTTCCACAAAAAACGTATTGGAGCCTTATGCCCAATCGTACGGATATGGTCCAGGTCCACCACATGGAGTGGAGTCGTAGTGCCTAGGCCTCGGCACGGGTGCGCCATGCAAATTTGGGTTAGCCCCGTGGCACTTGGGCTTGCGATCCCCTCTCCGTTCACAGCACATGGCGTTTCTTGAGAAGGGTAAAAATGACCGAGAAAATCCATCTTAAATCGTAAATAAAAATTCGTGAGGTGCTTCACTAACTTCTTTCACGTAGATAAAAATTCGAGTTGCGTATGAGCTCGAGCGAGTGGTCCAAACATGAAATTAATTGTCGATATGTTCTTTTAAAGGGATCGTATCATTAATAATCAACCTTCCACGCTCTTAAGAAAGGTACTCGAGAATAGGGACTAGGTCAGTATAGTAAGGGACATTAATCCTCTCGATCTAGGGATGAAAATGAGCGGGAAATTTCATCGAATTAAATCGACCATCTTGCGTAAAGTTCTGATATCTAGAGACATCGTATATAATTGAATTAATACCACAAAAAACTCCAAACTGATAATCCTATGATAAATTTATTAAAAGTCCTAAACCGGTACATTTATGACAACCGGTAAATTTGGATTAATACCACGAAAAATCACAAATCGGTAAACTTGTGATAAACGGAGGGTAAAACCCTAAATTGGTATATCCGTCAACTGTCACGTGTCATCCAATTAAAAAATTTGACGATAAAATTTAACGAAAATTAAAGAATGGTAAAATTGTTACAAGTGTACCGGTTTGGAGTTTTTGGTTGTCAAAAAATTAACTTGGGTTAATTTTGTTATGGGTGTATCAGTTTGGGGTTTTTCGTGATATTAACCTTATGTAATTTGTGGAAGTCGTTAAGATTTTGTACCACATAGTTTGTGGGACGAAACTGCACGTGGGAACAGAAAATGCGGGGTGCGATATTGGATTTCAGCCGGAAGAACGGCCATGTGAAATTGCACTTTGAATCCGACCCCAAAAATTTGCACTTTGAAAATGAAAGGCGATTTGAAATCTGACATGGGCCTAAAAGATCTAATAAGCAGCCGAATGGGTTCATCAATTGCCTGTGCAGCAGACCTATATAACATTCGTCGAGCTTACTATGGTGGACCGAAATAGCATATCATCTATGAACTTTATCTTTGGGCCAACAAGACCCAAAATTCAATTTTCAATACACATTTGACCAAAAAATTAAGTAAATCTAATCTAATCTAATCTAAAGCCTATCCATACTATGGATTACCTCCCTCACACAAATCTACATACTACAGCACGATGTAATCCTTGACTTTTCCGCTATTAAGATAAGGTGATGATTTCTTCTTTGGAACAATGTATGTAGGGGTGAGCATCGGTCCAAGGTTGACCCTGGATCGACCCTGGACCGGCCTAACCCTGTTGGTCTTGGTCCGGTTCCTAGGGGGTCTGGGTCGGTCTTTGGTCCTGGAATCCCTGGACCCTGCACTGTGTGGGTTGGTCCTCGGTCCCGAGAGTTTAGGGTTGGTCCAACCTGGACCAACCTATATATATATATATATATATGTATTTATATAATATATATTATACTTTATATGCTTTTATCTACTGTAAACCCTGGCGTCTCCTCCTCTGTTCTCTTCTTTCTTATGCAGTTCGGTTTGCCGTGTAAATAGAATGTATAAAGAAAACCAGCTCTACCTTGACCAAAAAAAATAGAAACCCTCTTCGCTCGTCTCTGTCTCATTCGCACGCCATGCCTTCTCGCCTCACTTGGCTCGCCTATGTTCACTCGCCTCGCCACTTGCCTCTCTTTGCTTGCTTCACTCCCCTTGCCGCTCACCTATGTTCACTCGCCTCAACGCTCACCTTGCTCACCTTACGAGCGCAACTCAGTTGGACAAATATACTTTGTTAAGTATTAATTATGTGTATTGTTTATTTTGATTTTATGTGTTCAGAAGTTGAAGCGATCATTTAAGAATGAACAATATATGGGGCCTTCTTCTTTGTCAAGAAATAAGAAGCAGACGTGCATTCCTTTGACAAAGGGAAGAGCGGCTCGAAAAGGAGACCAAAATGCATAACATTCTTGGCACGGTGATTTTGTGCTGTGAGGTTTACATTTAATGAATTGTTTATTTATAAACACTTGGGGCTTGGATTTAATGTAGATGTGAGAAACACTAGAGCGTGTTAGCATTCGCAAACTCCGATTCTCCGACTATTAGTGATTATTTGCTGTCGGCTCTCTCTGTAAATATAGGTATCGATACTCGGATCAAACTACGTAAATATTTGGCGTCCCTTATCGTTTCTCGTTTTATTTTTTTAGTGATTTTGCATTTATTAATATTACAACAAGCTCACCAAAGCCAAAGAAATGAAATGACTCAACCACGACTAAAAGGTTTTGCCTCAACTTTTTCTGTGGACATAAAATCACATAAATTGAATTACATAAATCTGGATTTTCCTATTCGTTTCCACCATTTTTTCGCAAATGGAAAGGACCGATGGAGTATACGCCAAAGTTACATAAGAAATATAGATTCTTCACAGATAGATCTATCTAAAACCTTCGAATTCGAATTGGCTCTAGCATTGTTACTTTGTTCTTGCGAGCTATTTGGAAATTGTAAGTAAGCCGTTCGATTCTCCTGAAGTATCACATCACATATATACATTGACAAGAAGTGTCGTACGCAATCCTCCCAAGAAGATTGAACCAGTATTCGCCACCGGCACGACGAGCGGTGCAGAATGAAAGTTAAATGGTGCACAGCATGGTCAAGCCTCCGCGTATGCACACAAAATGTCAACTTTGGATGATTCGAGGAAGACCGTCACTTGCTACTCCTATCGGTTGAGTCTGTTGAAATAGTCCTTCTCTCTTTGTAATATATGGGTTTTGACCCAGTCAAAATAAAAAAAGGAAAAGGAAAGTGTTGACTCAGTCAACAAAGGGCGACCGAGAGCTCCCTCGGTAAGAAACAGAGGAAGAAAGAGAAAAAGGGAAAAGAAGAAGAAGAAAGAAAGAAGAAGAAGAAGAAAGAAGAGAGAGAGGGTTTGGTGCCAAAGGGGTCTCGCCAAGCCAATTCGACTTCGTAACGCAATGCTCGGTAAGTGCTCGCGTCTCTTGTTCGTTCAATCGGAGTATTTTCCGGGTTATGGCTCATATTTCAGAGTTATGTGATATTTGCGCGGCGAAGTCCGATTTTTGAGTCGTTGAGCTATGAATATATATAGAATTGATAGTTTAGGGTGTTGCGGGACGGTGGGATTTTACGGATCTTGATTTGGACTTACGGTTTGCCCAATATGAATTTTTGAAGTTGGTCGCGCAAGGTGAACAGTGCGAGACCAGCGGCTTTTAGGCCGATTTTCGTCGGTTTTCGGTTCGATTTTGGGACGGCCAAGTTGGGGTTCTTGTAGTGCTCTAAATAGGAT